ATAAACAAACGTCTTAATTTTAGTCGCTCTTTAGTCGGAAGCTAGAGCAAAGTGATGCCAAAACTCAAAACACAGATTCAGAAAGTCTCGAATTTGATTTCCACCAAGTCAAGGTCATCGAATAGTTATTGTTTGAGCTTTTTAAAAATCCGAAATCCACTTTTACGACGTTATGCAATAGAAATACGCGAGAAAATCCGAGTGAAAACTTCATACCACAACAAAAACCGCAGAAAGGTAACGTTATTTGTCTGGAAAAAGAGACACTTTGAAAAATAAGAATAGTTTATACTTGCATGTTTTTCTCTAAAATAACTCGGGGTGGCTTCAGTCCAGCTTTTGGGAGAGAGGAGAAAAGCAGTGTTCCAGTCCACACTCAGCCATCTTGTTCCCAGTTGTTTCCAGACTGGAGGAATCCAGTTACACTGACATCAACCTCTGGAAACATCAACATTGCCCTTATTTAGTGCAGCTCCTGCCTCTCTGTCCACCACACTTTCACGGACACTCACAAAACCATTAAAACGTGCGCTTAATAGAAATATAAGAAATTAAAACTAAATTTAATTTTGTAAATGGTTTACATCTTTAAATTAATTTGTAAATAGGTCAAAAACGTACATTTGTATCATTAGGTCTAACTACGCGAATTAACACACTCTGTTGTTGTTTGCGACTCTTGCTGCCAGGCAACAAGATGTCGCCCCCTCTCCAGGATTGGATAAGAAGTGTGAGTGACAGTTGGATGAACCAATCAAAAGATCAAATCAAAAAACTTTACTACTGTATGCAAGTGGGTAGGCAAGTATGAGATGTAGCGACTATATACTAGGGTCTCTTGTCTTAGCTATATATCTTTGCTATATAGCAGTTAATTACCACAGAAGTTACGTTTTAAATAATGACTTCCAAAAGCACTGTAAAACATACGAATATAAAGGGAAACTGCTACTATATAGTGATATTATGTATAGCGATCATAGACTGTAAAAAAAGATAGCGATATTTAGGCCTATATAGTGATACTATTTATCACTATGCTTTCCAAGTACACTCTTAAAAATAAATTGCTTTTATTGGCATTGATTGTTCCACGAAGAACCTTTAACATCCATAGAAACTTCCGATTGCACAAAAGGTTCTTTATAGTAGAAAATGGTTCTTTAGGTTATTAAAATGTTCTTTACACTAAGAAAAACTGTTATTTTTTCATTCAATCAAATTTTCTGTTATTCATGTATAGAGTGACTGTGACAAATCTGTTAATTTGGTCATTAATATCATGCTTTACTAATTATGCCTGATATTTATTATTAAATAGTTAATTTTATTCTAAAATGAATTACTTTCAGTGGTGTTTGTAAAACATGTTTATTTGTCAATAGGTACTGCTTGTACAGTAGTAGGCTATATCTGACTAAAAACTTCAACTTTGACTTTAGACCTGATGACTTTGACATGATTAAAGCATAATAATTACACTATTCTTACACAATTCACACAGTTATAAACACATACATTAGGTATCTCCACTGATTTATGAGTGTGAATGTCAGAACCACTGATTTTTTGGTCCCATTTGCCCTCTGTTGAGAAGTGCTCAGGTGAAGATAGAAGGTTATGAAGATACATCGAAGGATAAGGAGCGAGACAGTGACTGTGTGGAACATGAGACTCGATCAGTTGTTCAGTATGCAATTAAGTCTATTGTGTTTCTAGTATTTGCGTACCATGGCAAATCTACAACATTCTGCCATAAGGGATATTCAGTGAGTCATTTGCAGCCTTAGACAAGTCCAAATACAACCTTGCTGATAGTGATCAGAATGGGTTTGAACTAAATATTTTTCATCTGAATCAGATTTTCTGTAGCACCATTTGGGATTTTCACATGTCACACCTTTACCCATGTCTCTCCATTGTCTGCCAGTTCCTCTTAGTTTTCAAGCCCACCCTGGGTGTTACCATGTATAGAAACATTTGGTTACCTAACCTCCCCTTGTCTCCACATAAAAGTGCCCCTGCTTCTCCAGATCCAGGTCACCAACTTATTTATCTTTGTTCCTCGGTGGTAAAATCAACTCCCAACACCTGTTAAAACAGCGAACACTCATACAAAATCATACAAATGCCACATACAAATGAAGTCCCAGAAGATATTCAGACATAATTAAAATGTATTTTTTTCTGACAAATAAAGTCATTTAGTCAGTGCCTCAGGTGATTTCACAATTTGTGGGGGCTCCACAAGAGCTGGTTTAAATAAATAAAAGGCATGTTGACAGGATCTTTGCATCATTTGCAGCTCTCAGTTCACAGCCATATAATACAGAAGGTATGTTTCTGAAAACGATTGTTTAATGATTTTACATTAATATTTGAATGCTTAATTGTATCAATGACCTCCTTTATTCTTAATTTTGAAGCTAAACCTATGCTAAAATTATGAATGAATCAAAAGTAATTCTGAAGGTTTTTCAAACTAAAATTCATGTGTGCTATTTCACAGGTAGAAACATCTTTTGCCCCAAAGTACATTAGTCCGAATTCTGAATTTTATACTAAATTCTTTCGTTCTAATATATGTAAATGTGTCATACATTAGGTATGTCCACTGGTTTGTTATAACTGTGAATGTCAGAACCACTGAATTTTAATCCCATTTGTCTTCTGTTGATCAGAGCTTCAGAAGCGCTCAGGTGAAGATGTTGTTCTTCTAGAAAGTTATGAAGTTACACCGAAGGATGAGGAGCGAGGCGGTTACTGTGTGGATTATGAGGCAGCCAGTCCTTTTCCCACCCCTGCTGCACTAACAACCGCAATAAAGTACCATACACGGTTACGACAGTCCAACCCCCCCCCAAAAAACATCCAAAATTCAGTGCTGGGTGTACTACGGTAAACCTGTGAAGCTGTATCTACCCATGAGGAATCTGCCCATACTTCCCAATTCTCTAGGGAATATGGTGGTCTCTGGGCTATATACAGGGGGAATGAACGGTTTTGTTAATGTCCAACATAGGGTAGTGTGCGGGAAACTGCAAAGGCCAATGAGAAGTTTCCCTAAAGGACTTCATGATTACAATAATGGCAACCGAGGATAACCTATAATAAAGGATCAGGGGCAGTTAAGGCAATAGCGGGCAGGCCTGTGATGGCGTTTCAGATGTCCAACAGACGAAGCTCCTCTTTTTACAAACGTCTCAGATCTTATCAGGGAGTTTTAGCTGCTCAGAGGCCCAGGGGAAGTACAGTTTGTTCTCGCTGTGTTGAGGGTGCAGGACTAGACTACCCAGGTAGCCAGCGCAATCGGGCCAATTGCGGCTGAGTGTCGGCTCACTCGGCTGTGTTCTGGCAGCGGCTCACCGAAAGTGAGCCAGCTCTGGCCCAGTAATGGTTGCCAGATTTGGCTAGGCTTTGGATGTGCGGACCTGGCCCGATTTGCACTGAGACACAGCACATTTAGCCACATTCGGCCCGATTACGGACCATAAGGGCTGGTCTGATTTTGTCTGAGATATGGGCATGCATACCCGGACCAGTTTAGGTTGAGTGCTGGGGGTAGGTCTCCGTTTACAATGTGGTAAATAGTATGTAGCAGTGACACTGGCATTGGGCCACAATCACACCGACGAGTGGCCCAATGCTGGTGGTGTCGGCTCAGTTTCAGTACCCAGACTCGGGCCAGTACTGGCTAAGAGTGCCATTTTGGTTGGCGTGATTGTGGCCCAATGCCGGTGGTGTTGGCCCAGTTTCAGTACCCAGACTCGGGCCAGTACTGGCTAAGAGTGCCATTTTGGTTGGCGTGATTGTGGCCCAATGCCGGTGGTGTTGGCCCAGTTTCAGTACCCAGACTCGGGCCAGTACTAGCTAAGTGTTTCATTTCTCGTCGTTGTGATTGTGGCCCAATGCCGGTGGTGTTGTCTCAGTTTTAGTACCCAGACTCGGGCCAGCACTAGCTAAGTGTTCCAATTCTTGTCGGCGTGATTGTGGCCCAATGCCGGCAGTTTTGGCAGCCGGACTCGGGCCAGTGTATTTGGGCCGATTCTGGGGCGTCATTCATCCCATGTTCATGCCGAGTCTGGCAACCGCAGCTAGGCCGAGTTATTTCTTCCGGCCTGCCGGATCTGGGCCATTTTCGGGCCAAACCATTTTGGCTACCTGGGTAATGTTCTTCTCCAAGTAGATACAAGCTAATTTAAATTTTAATGTCAAGAGCCAACTTCCTCCTTTCAGCATGTTCAACATGAGCTTCATTCAACTGATTCTGACAGTGAGTATACACAAACTATCATTGTTTTGCATATCCTTTTTTATTTTGTTATGTAGTTGTGTTGTACCACTATGTCTCCAATAAAAATAAAAGCACTGTACATGGCAGGTGACTTGAAGTTGATTCTATTCTATTTCTACTACTTTTTAACACAAATGCCATTTTTGACCGTTTTTTATATACTTCATCACTGGACTAAGCACACATGTAAGTAAGTATGTAACTGCAAAACACTATTAGAATTGTGACATATATACATTTTAACTTATACATTGATTAACCTTTAACACATGATAATTTATAATATGCAGTGAATAACAATGCACAAATAAACAGTGACACAATGAATAAAGAATATAATGCAAGCAAAGTTTAACTTAAATACATACATACATAAATGTATCAGCAGTAATATTAAAAAACATAAAAATGTAAAAGAGATTACCTAAAATTTGTTTTTATTGGGTCAGTGGGGCCCACACAAAGGAACAATATCTATACACAGCAAAATATAAAACGCAACATGATTGGCTGCGTTATTTTTTCCCATGCACGTCAGATCCATAGACTCCCTTGACCTGATACTTGTTTGCTTTGGTTTCCACGGTTATGTGAACGACTTCTGAATTGTCCAATCGCGATGGGCTTTGAAGTCATTCCGACCAATCCGATTGTCTAGTAGGCGGAGACATGACGCGTTAGAGGCGGGACTTGCCGGGGCCTCTCCATCACTTCCCGTGCCGCAGCCTGTCAACCTCGACGCTTCGTAGTTCAATACCCACACAGTGGACCCGGCACTTCATTAAAACATCTCCTGCAAATTTATATAGCACAATTTATTTGTTTATCTATCAAGTGTGAATTAAGCAGCTCAGAATGGAGACATCTGGTAACTCGAGTAAGAAGCAGAAACTGAGTAACGCGCCTGAGAGCTGGGTGAGTAGCGGCTAAATATTGAGGGATGTTTTGCATTACTAATGTGGTAACTTACAGTCTCGTGTTATGAATATGGTGTTTTTGATTATGCTGAATCTGACCCATCCCGTTTTAATTGATAGTATAAGCGAAGTCCAGAAGAATCATGCCTGTAATAGAAGTCCTTAGTTGTGATAAATTAATGAAACAGATGCGAATACTAATTTTATGCGTACATTTTGCCTGTGCCTTAAAACCTAGTGTGCTGTCCACCTAGACAGCATTTCTAGGCAGCACAAGTACGAGTTTCATCACTTTTTGGACGTTTAGTATGATACATGGCTTCTAGGACGTGTACCATGGTATTCTTTGTATTATGTAATTACCATGGTACAAAGATATGGTAATCATTCAGTACCACGTTCTATATCTATGGTAGTACAATCAGTGTTTTTGATTTATAGATGTGTGCAATATTTGTGAATATCATCAATAAAAATGACCACGTTTATTTGGATATGGTACCATGATACCACAATTTGTTTGGTGTATGTATTATGGCATTAAAAAGTGTGTGTCTGTGTGTTTTACATTTGAATATGTATTATTTTTAATTATATATATATATAATTAAAAATAATGACCATTGAAAACAACATAACACCAAGAGACATTCATAATATGCTATATGCAATGCCATACAACAAACAAAATTCAACTGAAAACACTTTCTTTAAGTGTTTCACTTAAGTCAGTCAAACAGGAGGTCTTTGTCAGAAATGAGACAGATTAAATGAATGTGACATAAATCAAATGTGTTTCCTGCAATTTGTGCAGGGAATGCAAAGAGCCACCAATGTGACGTATCAAGCCCATCATGTGAGCAGAAACAAGCGTGGCCAGGTAGTCGGCACTAGAGGAGGATTTCGAGGATGCACGGTGTGGCTGACAGGTGCTCGGACAACCCCTCTTCTGTTATTTTGGAAAATAAACAACTGGATGATTCCATCATGGTTGTATCTAAAATTGTCTGTAAATATCTTGACTTATTTGTTCTGCATCCTCAGGTTTATCTGGTGCTGGTAAGACGACAGTCAGCATGGCTCTGGAGGAGTATCTTGTGTGTCATGGCATCCCCTGCTACACTCTGGATGGAGATAACATCAGGCAGGGCCTCAATAAAAATCTGGGCTTCAGTCCTGAAGACCGTGAGGAGAACATTCGTCGTATCGCAGAAGTGGTGAAACTGTTTGCTGATGCTGGTCTTGTGTGCATTGCCAGCTTCATTTCCCCATACAGCAGGGTGAGAAACATACAGAGCTGTGCGTATGTGTGTGTATAACACTTCTTAACCCTGTAAAGCCTGACATATGAAATAATAATCAGAAAAATCAAATTTTATTGAAATTTTATTCAAAGTTTATTGAAGCTTTTTTTTTAAACTAAAATGCATATGTTTTTATGTTTTCTATTATATTTGATACATCAGGCTTTATGGCTCATATAGTATGAATTAGAAGAATATTGAACTCGCACTCAAGGAAGAAAAAAACACCTGTTTTACTCAGAGGCCCAAACTAAGCAAAAATATTCAATTTTTTGCAGATATTGATATTTATATGGTCAAAAAGTAAGATGAAATTCTGATTGTATGTAATTTAAAGGGACATCGGATGCAAAATTCACTTTTACATGGTGTTTGCATATAAATGTGTCTTAGGAGTGTGTGGACACAACCACCCTATAATGATAAAAATCCATTCACTCCTTTTTTTTAATCCCCAAAAAACCTAAACAGTCTCAATTATTAAGCCGTTTTGATTTTATGAGCAGCAGTACGACGTCTTACTACTCAGACCTTGCCCATGACTGCTGATCCAGTATTAGCATATCTCTGCCCTCAGCCAGTTGTACTCTGTCCACTATCTTCTCCGTGCTCGGTAGCAACATCAATGTCTCGTAAGCAATGCAGGTGTTTTGTAGTTGGTTATAAAAGTGAACGAGTCTTCATTTTCTCCCGACATCAGAGCCACTGAGGAAGATCTTAAGGCAGAGATACACTCATATACCTGAATATAAGCATTGAGAGTCTAGCTAATACAAATAAAGAGTTGTAACTTAGGCTAATACAATAGGGAAACATACAAACAACACATGCATATACCAGATACAATTATAACTGATTAATTATAGTCTAAATAAAGAAATGTCTTTATGTGTGTGTGTGTGTGGGTGTGTGTGTGTACATGTTTTTCTATACTGGTGGGGACTTAAACCTGAATACACACCTACTCATGGGGACTTGTGTCACTGTGGGGACCTAAATTGAGGTCCCCATGGGTACAGAAGCTTATAAATCATACAGAATGAGTTTATTTGAGATTGTAAAAATGCACAAAGTTTTCTGTGAGGGGTAGGTTTAGGTGTAGGGCGATAGAAAATGGTTTTTATACTGTACAAACTGTATTTTTATTGCCCTACACCAACCCTACCCCTAAACCTACCCATCACAGCAAACTTTATGCATTTAAGGGTGTTGTTTCACATGGCCATTGAGGAATTTTAACCAAAGTATGTTACAGACATTTCACGAAGACCCTAAAGAACATCTGCTGCATGTCCACAGGACCGCCTGAATGCAAGGAAGATCCATGAAGCTGCTGGCCTGTATGTTTTTTAAGCCTTTTGTTTTACGGGGACACAGGAAGTGTCCTCATAAACCATGTTTACGTTGTAGTACCCATGTCATTATACACATTTGTGTCCTCATAAACCATATATACCTGTACACACACGTCTGGTTCACTATCCTTACACACACACATATATATATATAAAGAACTAAAATAGAAATAAATATAAAGAAAATGTAAATATTAGCGTTGTATTTTTTAAGTGTACTATAAAATAACTATTTTTATTTAATACTCATTTTTTATTGTAAAATGTAATATTATTATCAAACTTTATTTATTATTTTGTTTATTATTTTATTTAAAGAAAACTAAATAAAGTGCAATAATAGTATTATTACTGTTAAATTATAAATTTAAATTATAGATTACTGTTAAATTATAGTTATATTTAATGGGTCACACTATGTGCAGTGTGAGAACTAAACCAATTCTCCAGGTGCACCCTGGAGTGGAGAAACTTACATGCACCCCTGTATAGTGCAAAATATGTCTTATTTTCACTCACTCTTTTGATGTAGATTCATTGTGTTTTATGGCTCACATTTAATCTGTAAATGGTCAGTAGTCAATAGGACAGTCAGTCCTAAAGTGCTGACAACAAACCCAAATCATTCTCTTAATTTCAGTGACCTGCTTGTGCAGAAATATGTGAAATTATTAAATGAGCCAAGATAGTGTCCTTGAAATGTTTTGAGGCAGTGAAGAAGAAAAATACCAGGAAAAGAATTGTTAGACTTTTGCAAAATAGTTAAAAAGTGGAGATTGTGGCCTTTTTGGTGTGCGTAACATTTCATCTTGGGGAACACGGTTGTGTTATTAGCTGTGTGTGAGTAGTTTGAGAGTAAGCTAAAGGTTTTTGAGAGGTTACACAAAACTTTCTTAGCAAACCAGTGGTGACTTATCACAACTCTCTTGGTTTCCTGAAGAGATTGAGATGATTCTTGGAAAGCAGGTTTCTGGTAGGAAATGACTGTGACTCAATGACTCTTGTGTTTCCTGCTGTTTTTGTTATATTTAATTTCTTTTGCTGTGGAGCTGCAGATTAAGTAAGAGTGAATCAGGTGAAGAGTGATACAGGAAAGATGCAAATCTGAAAGTTGCTAACATCTTGTGATGAGAATGATTGACGTATATAGCAGGAAGTGTCTTTTTCTCATGCACATGTTAAATTATACATGCACACCACATATGAGCTGCTTTATACGGTTGTAGAAAACACCAAATCATTTCAGCGCTACTAAGAACTGAAATGTTTCCAGTCCTATTGAATGACAATCTGTTTTCATGAAGTGCATCCAAAGTATATATGCTTCCGCTGATGAATGGATTGTGTTTTTAATATAACGGCCCGGGTTATATACTCCTGTTGTCCTCAGGGTTCACAGGAATAGATTCTGAGTATGAAAAGCCAGAGGCCCCTGAACTGGTACTGAAGACGGATTCTTGCAGTGTGAACGAGTGCATCCAGCAGCTTTTAGACCTCCTGCAGGAGAGAGTAAGTTCACTCCATTTATTCATGTTAAAGGGAATTCAGTGTGAGCCTCAGATATGCTGCATATATATGCATAGCGTATTTGGAGTTTTTGATCTAAATGTCTTGCTTGGATTACAAAATGATGCACATTTCAAATGACCGGTTGCAAGCAGTAAAACAGCACTTGCCACAGAAGTGTTTGCTGCGTCAATGAGCATGTTATGTGCACATAAATATTCTAATATTTAGAATATTCTGAATCTCGCAAATCTACGATTAGTATGAAGTCACGTTTCAATTGGAAATTTGTTGCATGTGTAAACCTTATTCATAAAATCCACTGAGAGGAAATAACTATAATAATAACGGTTTTCTATTTTAAAATGTAATTTATTCCTGTGATGGCAAAGGTGAATTTTTACTCCAGTCTTCAGTGATCCTTCAGAAACCATTCTAATATGCTGATTTGGTGCTCGAGAAACGTTTCTTATTATTATCAATGTTAAAAACAGTTGTGCTGCTTAATATTTTTGTAGAAACAGTGATTCATCTTTTTCAGGATTCTTTGATGAATAGCATTTTTCTGAAATAGAAATGTCTTTACTGTTGCTTTTGATCAATTTAATGCTTTCTTGCTGAATAAAAGTATTAATTTCTTTACAAAAAAAAAAAATCTCACTGACTCCAGACTTTTGAACGGTAGTTTATTTAGCAATGGGAACTCATGGCTAAATGGATGCATTTCTGTGGTGACAAGACAGTTTTTATATATTGATTTATTCTGATGCCTTTATGCATTTAAACATCATATTTGGAATATTACATTACATGATGGGGTATTTTTCTATGCACTCACTATACGTTGACATCCTTATTGTATGGATATAATACATACGTATCTTATCCTTTTCTTGGATATAAATGACAATGATGTCTGTGTGATAATGTTTTGACCGTTTGCAGGACATAGTTCCTGTGGACGCGTCCTATGAGGTCAAGGAGCTCTACGTGCATGAGAACAAGCTGGACTTGGCCAAAGCTGATGCAGAGACTCTTCCAGCAGTGGAGATCACTAAGGTATCTTCCCGCCTTGTATGTCATTCAAATTCAGATCTGAAACTCCTGCAGATGGTTTGCCGACCCATTATGACTTGCGTACATCCTAACAGCTAATGTCTGTTCTGTGTTGGTGTGTTAGGTGGACATGCAGTGGGTTCAGGTGCTCGCTGAGGGCTGGGCCACTCCTCTGAACGGCTTCATGAGGGAGAGAGAGTACCTGCAGTGTCTGCACTTCAACTGTCTGCTTGATGGTAAACACATGATCTTATGCTAAAACCGTCTTCTTATATCATACTGTCTTGCATGGATCTTTTTCATGCATTGTGTTTTGTAAATGCACCACTAGATGGCAACGTTCGACAGTGTAATGCACTTTTCTTTTTTCTACTGGCCACTATTACGTTAAGAAGTGCTTTTAGAAATCATCTCCTTCGCCTTTTACACTTTTTTGGATTTACTGAATCATTTTCTTTTAACTGACAACTAACAACCCATGATGACAAGTGAAAACACAATTTTTAAAAAATATTTAGCACATTTAAATGAAAAACAAAAAACTTGATTGGCCCCCAACTTCAGGTAGTGCACGAAGAACCCCAGCTCAAGGAGGTGAACAAAAATCTATGGTCACACTTTATTTTAAGGTCCAGTTCTGACTATTAACTACGGGTTTTGCCTCAATAAACTCCCTAATTACTACTTATTAATAGTTAGTAAGGTAGTGTGGTTAAGTTTAGGTATTAGGTAGGATTAAGGATGTAGAAATTTAGTCATGCAGAATAAGACATTAATATGTGCTTTATAAGTTCTAATAAATAGCCAATATGCTAGTAATATGCATGCTAATAAGCAACTAGTAAATAGTGAGAATTGGTCCCTAAACTAAAGTGTTACCGAATCTACTAATAATCTACTAATATTTTAAATTTCTGTGCAGACCCAGGAGAACCTCTTGGAATGGGAGACCAATCGCAAAATACATTTCATTTAGCTGAGGGAATCTATAGGCTCTGCAAGTGGATTTTAAATGTTAATTAGTGGTGGAAATAAAAGAGCTATTATAGTTTTAATGGCGGCTTGGGTTATGTTGATCGCATGCTCTCAAGACAGTTTAGGCTTTTCAGAAACCCGATCGTCTGAAATAAAAACTCGGCACCTTTTTGATTACGAGAATGACAAATGTGCGAATGGCTTTTTAAACCATAATGCGCATTTATAGATCTGGGTAATTACAGCAATTTCCCACACCAAACCTGAGTTTCCAAAAAGTGTCAATTGAGTTTTACGGCCTCATAACACTCTGCTGTGTGTTGTCTTGCCTAGTATTCAAATTTGTGTTCAAGGTATGCATTCACACTCACACACACCTATTAAGATAAAAAAAATGGGCCTAGTAGATGTTATGGATGTGACGGAAATACAGCAAGGGAGATCATTAGGTGTTCATGCATTACATCACCAGCGTCATTAGACTTGATTCCTGGACATCACAGCTTGTGTTATTGTTTTGATCCTTACCATATGCCCGACGGGACTCTTGTTGGACCGGACTGCCATCTTTATGAAACGGACAGATTTGTGCATGTTGCTGCCTGATACTAGTTTAATTTAGATTGAGCTGAAATGGGATGCTCGCAGGGCTCTTTCTTATGGAAAACAGCTGTTTCTGCTATGATGTGTGTGTTTCATCCTGAAAATGGATTTTAAAAGCTTCCCGCTCATATTGCTTTAATCAAGGTGCTGGACCTCTTACTTTCTTCGAAAACTCAACACTTTTACTTATCTCGCCCCATAGATCCTTAGCTATTCCATTTTAGGCTTTTAAAAGCTGTTGATTTTTCAAAGCCACAGTCTGGTTAATGTATGTGCCATGCATCTGTCCTCTGTTCATAGGTGGGGTTATTAACCTGTCGGTGCCGGTAATCCTCCCCATCTCAAGCGCCGATAAGGAGCGTCTGGATGGCACCACTGCATTCTCGCTAGCCTACGGTGGTCGGAGGGTCGCAATACTCCGAAACCCGGAGTTCTATGAGCACCGCAAGGAAGAGCGTTGTGCCCGGCAGTGGGGCACCACATGCAAGGATCATCCATACATCAAGGTCAGGGGGGTCAATATGGACAAAACCCATATGATTAGTAGATTACTAACATAGTTTCCTAACAAAAGCGAAAGTTCTGCATAACCTGACACAATCACAGCCATTTAGAACATAGTTGATCGAGCGTAATCACTAGATTACTGTAATTACTTTTCTCTGAGACCCCGTTTTAGTTTGAAAACTCCGGGTTGCGTTTCAGTGTAAACGGACCAAAACGGAGACTTTTGAAAATGATGGCGTGGCTGCCCACATTCGCTCTGCATATCCTTGACGACTGTGTAAACAAGAACATCATGCTCATTGTTGTACCTGCATGAATGGTCATGTGTGACATGCGTTTTAGGTTGTGTAGTGTGGACGGAGATCGTTTCTGAAATGCAGTGAAAACGGCAGTGTAGACGAGGATCGTTTTCAGTTTAAAATGCCGTTTTAAAACGAAAATGCACTAGTGTAAACGTAGCCTGTGCAACTCTCTTCTTAGAACTCGGAATTATGCGTTTGAATTTCAACACTATTAATGCCAAATGAGTTGGTGTAATTCGAGTAATCAATAGACAAAAACACAATACACAAAGTTGTGCAAATGCTTTGTTAATCAACATAGTGTTTTTGTGGGACATTAGATAGGTGTTCAACTCTGCTAGCTACATTAAAGGGATAGTTTACTCAAAAATGAAAATCACCCCATGATTTACTCACCCTCAAGCCATCCTAGGTGTATATAACTTTCTTCTTTCAGACAAATACAATCAAAGTTATATTAAAAAAATGTCCTGGGTCTTCCAAGCTTTATAATGGCAGTGAATGGTGATCGAGATTTTGAAGCAAAATAAAGTGCATCCATCCATCATAAAAAGTGCTCCACATGTAGGACGTAGGTGAACGCGGAAATACAGTGGAGAGAGCAAAACAAACACCGGTCATGACTTAGAAGTATAAAAGTGCCAAAACCTTTTCCAAGTTTCGTACCATTCCGTTGAAGTAAAAAAATTCTAAAAAAACAAAACATAAAATTTTTTCGGTCAAAAATGACAGCACTATAGGGTTAATTCTGGTAATTCTGACATGGAGTGAATGCACCTATACAACAGTGTGGAGCTGGATTTTGGACCAATGAGATTTCATTGTGCTGTGTCACCACACAAATGTAAACCTAACCATAGACGTGATGCTGGTTAGGATCAAATTTCGGATAAAATATTTCTATCAACTTATGTAAGCAGTTGGAAATGATTAACATCGTCCTATATCTAATTTTTGTTATTAACTCCCTCCCTTTTCTTTCTTTTCTGACTCACAAACCACCTGGAAAGTCCCGATTATAAGAATGCTGTGAATGAGAGCACTGTTTAGACTACATACATGTTAATAAGAAAGCAGAATCACAGTGATTCAGCAGCATGATTCATTAATGCATCACTTTTTACCTGTCTGGGACTGAGCACCCTTTATGGGAATAATTATTATTATAAATATTATTGCTCTTGCTTTGGTTCAGTGCTAAATTTGATCTGAAACTCAACCCGCACTGTTGTGCTAAAGACATGACAACTTAAATCTACTGTTTTCACCTGACTAGCAAAATATTTTTGTGAAAAAAATGGCCTTAAAGAACATTTAGGAAGGGACATTATGACAGTGAGTTTTCCCAGGGATGTTTTCTTCTAAAATAAAATGTTGTTTGTATCTGTAATTGTGTTTAAAAGAAAAGATTTTCCACATATGTCCCATTTTTTGAAGGTAAAGTCATGGATATCTAGCAAGAAACAGTTGACCTGATGCTTTAGTAGGTCTTTGTGTGGTCGCATTGCCAAGCTTTCCTTGGACTGCACTCTGACTGAAGACAGAGCTACGATGCCCTCTTAGTCGGTCTGTGGAAACAAAGTCTCATTCTCTCTCATCTTTGCTCAGGCTCCACTTTAGTAATCTCTTTATTCCTCGACCTCCTTCATTTCACACATGTGTTTTAGTTGGATTTCTCGCCCTGCGTTCTATTTAAACAGTGTTTAGGCAAGTGGCGCTCTCCTCCCCTCCTCTCCCCTTACCTTCCTCTTACAAATCTCGCAGAGTAAATACTGAACAATTGTTTCCATCTGTAAGTAGGGATTGTGGGCTTAGGTGGACTTTAATGGCTCCGCTCTGATCCAGCTCGCACTAATGGGCGCCAACGGAGAGCTTTCGGACTCTGGAATGGCCCTGTCTGTCTACTTGCCTACGGTCACAAATAAACCCATCCACAGACCAAAGAAAGAAATTGCACACAGTAAAGAAACTAGCAGTTGACTTTCTTTATTTGTGGTATTCTTAGCTCAGTGGTGTTCTCTTGATAAGTTTTAGACTTATCACAATCCATGAATTTTGAGCCATCTTGGTGGATGTCAAAAGAAAAAGTTAAAAAAAGTTAACTATATAATAATCTAATATATGATAATACAAATTATAT